AAAATTCCATCATTGTTTCTTAAATGGCATATTTTATGGTTTCAATTACTATGAATAAAATATTTTTCTTCCATCACTCTTGGTTTTATTGGATTGTTAAATAGTTCCCGTTTTTTGGGGTCACCCTGTATTAATAGGAACGACGGATGCTAGCCCGGACTGCGGTGATAAACTAACTGAAGCTGAGATGCCAGGTGAGGACCGATAACATTACAGACCTTTTTGTGGATTTTTTCCAGAATTTCGAGATATATAACCGGAGCACCAGCCCAGATACGGCAGTAATATTCAACCCTAGCCCTAATCTACGGACGAATGGTAGGTTTTTAAATGTACAAGACGGATTCAGGCCAAAAAAATGTCATGCATGACACAATGAGCCGATTTCCTTAGCAGCAGATCTAGCAGTTCATTCAATATAATCGTTCCACTTTATGTCAGCAGAAAAACGAAATGAAACTATGTATCCGACATCTAAAGCAAGTAAATTCTACAAAATCACATGTGTTAATTGATAAGAAAGTTGTTTATAAAACAATTTTAAACCCGATAGAATAATGAAACTGGTAGCAAAACGAAGTAAATATATTTTACTTCAAAATAACATGACTTGATTGATAAATAAGGTCTCCAATGAGAGACCGGAGAGCCGAGTTCGAAATCCATCCATTACATTCACTTACGTGCTAATACCCTTTGGAAAGGTATGAATCCTCTTCTTCTCCCCCCAACTATGGGTAAATAGCAGGACAGACTGGGTTATATAGCCTTGGATGGCACCTAGGCTAACGCAGAGAGAAATGGCAACCTACTGCGGGAAAAAAATCTGCCTTGTCAGTCATGTATCGAAAAATACATAATCGCCTAAGCGTGTATCACGCATGGCACATAACTGACTGAATGGATAGCGACTAGGATTGAGGAATCGGAGAGCCGAGTTCGAATTCCAGTCGAATCCATTACATTCACTTACGTGATAATACCCGTGGGAAAGGTATGAATCCTCTTTTTCTCCCTTCAGCTATGGGTAAATAGCAGGACAGACTGGGTTCTATAGCCTTGGATGGCAACTGATCTACCGCAGAAAGAAATGGAAACCTACTGCGGGAAAAAAAAATTTGCCTCGTCAGTCATGTATCGAAAGATACATGATCGCTTAAGCATGTATCACGCATGGAATATAACTGACTGAATTCAATTAAAAATTTTTCAGAACATATGCTTTAGGACGATTAAAAATTATATAAATTTATTTCTGTTCAAAATTGCGAGGCTGTGTGATAAGTAGGCTCTCCTGTTTTATGAAATAAACGTTGAACCAGATTGATTGGTTATTTATTTCTGTTTAGCACAGTGATTCCCACCAAATTTTGGTTTGGTTTGGTTTGTTTAACGGCATATCAACCTCAATGGGTCATTTAATGCCGACAACTTTTTTTTTCCTGGTAATATTTTTACTTTGTCAAAAATCTATTTCTGTTAATATTTTTCCTCAAAAATGTATACCTGGTAATATTATTTTTTCAAAAACGTATAGCTAGTAATATTATTATTTTCTTCTTTACAAAAACATATAGCTGACAACATTATTTTTTCAAAAACATATTATCAGAGGCCTTGCTGTTGGATGTAGTTTATAGTCTTACCCAGGACGCGGATGTAGTTTATCGTCTTACCCAGGACGCCGATTTTGGGCCATGCCCACTTTGGTATTTCTAAAATTCTGATGCCGCACTGTAATATTTAATTCTTACATATTCAAAATTTTACTGCATTTCACGTGAAGGAAGCTTAAAAAAGCCATTAACTTGGCCTCTAAACAATCCTCCAAAGACCATGGCGTCCATGAAAGAGAAAAATTTAAAAAAAAGCAAACAAAAAGACAGTTAAATATATATATATATATAGATTCAAAACATATAATAAAGAACTGAAAGGCAGAAATATAAAATATTTGAATGAAAGCTTATTTTGCAATATACTTTGATCATTTTAATCAT